AAATTAACAATTCATAAGTTTCTATCGATAACGAAATATTATCAAAATAGCTTTCATAAAAAAATAGTCGTATTTATTGTGTTTCTGACGGTGTGTAATGTGTATGATTAATCTTAACAATGATTTTAGAAAATATGACAATTATAATTTCCTTTTTACAATAATACATGCATAGATTGCGGAAAATTTTGAAAATTTATCGCTCGTAAATTTTATCCGTCATTGATAACTTTCCAATAATATTTTCGAACCACGACTCGATCCTATTATTTGTTTAATATCGTTCGAGGGCTACGCTACTGACCTCACTACAGGCGATAGACCACAGTGGGATCGGCGGGTTCGGTACGCTACCGGTTCGGCTGTGCGAGGCGAACGGACCACGCGCGTGCACCGAAAACCGGTGCCGTGAGATGCACGTTTTTCGGTAGGGCACCTGATCGTAGCCTCGGATCCTAATCTGTTGGGGCTATTACGATAATGCGCCCTGGTATAAGGAAGGTTGTAGCCTCCGCTCGTTGCTTCGCTTATCCGTTTTCGTTTACACGAAAGTGAGTAGAGACACCGGATGAGAGGACGAACTTGAGGCAAAGACGAGGGAGAGAGAGAAAAAGATGTGAGAGGGGGGGGGGAAGAGGGCAAGAGATAAGGAAAGGATGAGAGAGGAAGGAAGGATGCCTCTTTCCCAGAGCCAACGTGGTATACTCGCTTACTCTCTTTGTGCCGGATGCATGCCGCCGACAGAGTAGCAATAGCGGACGAACGTCCGGTCTGCCCTCTCTCTTTCTCTCTCCCTTCTTTTTCTCTTTGCTTCTCTCTCTTTCTCTCTCTCTCTCTCTCTCTCTGTCTCTCGGAGGCCGATGCACTTCGATCGCATCATTGGGTGCAGCGGTGCACTTCGTCGCTCTGCTCCAATGCTGCCCGTGTCGACTAATTACTTTCATATCGCGCGTCTCATTGTTGTTCAGCGCGAACGCACCGTTAATTTGGCGATCAACATTTTTTTTCTATCAGCCTGTATCCAATATAGAAGTTTTTAAAATATAAAAGAAAATAATAGACATATGATGTACTCTGTAGCTTTAGATATCATTCAAAATATTGTAAAAGGAATCTGAATATAAAAATCACGCGAAACATAATCTTATGTTGTTACAGAGAAAGTACTGATTACGCGGCTAACCACCCAAAAGTGGCTGGACGTCGATCCGGAATGGACCGTAGACGTGTACAAGAGCGCCCATTCGCAAATGGAGTACGAGTATAGGGTGACTTGTGCGCCGCATTATTACGGCAAGGGTTGCGAGAATCTGTGCCGGCCAAGGGATGACAACTTTGGTCACTATAGTTGCAGTCCAAGCGGCGAGCGCGTCTGCCTCACCGGCTGGAAGGGCGACTATTGCAACTCCCGTAAGTATATACCACGTTCGCCGTTCTGGTATCCATGACCGCGCGCTATATTTTAAGCGATAGCGCGACACACTGGCCGCCATTTATTTCCGTGTTCTCTATCACGACTGCACGCGCGTATCAAACATTATTTTAACCAGTTCGGTTTAGCAACTGAGTGATTACCGTTTAGACTTGAGGGGGAAAAAAAGTACAAATTAAATAACCGTAGGTGAATAAACTGATCGTGATGCGATTTCTCGAAAGACGAATGTTAGAAAATTACCAAGTGGCTGTTCGTTCTACGTTTTCTCGACGCCAGTTCTCGCATTTCTCGTAAGGATTTTAGCGAGACACGCGGTTATTAACAGGCAGCGTTTGCTGCCTCCGCGATCCCTATCGACGGTCGAATATGCACGCTACCTCGGTAAACGACGATACTCTTGCGAATCGGCCGGCGCGGCGCGGCGCGGCGCGGCGCGGCGCGGCTTGGCTCGCCGAACGAGAAACCGTTCCTATCGCGTATCCTCGCGTTCTCTCTCGCTCCACGTTCCTTCAGAGCCCGTCGTCTCTCCCGGCGCGCAAAGGAGAGGCCCCCGATGCAGTCGGTGGTGTGGCGCGCTGCAGCGCGGCGCAGCCGAGGACTTCGAAGCGTGCAGCAGCTTCCCACGCTTGGCTCGCGCGTGTACGAGTATCTCCTCTCCTTCTCTCACCCGCTTCCTCCTCCGTTCACGCGCGCTCTCTTCTTTTTCTCTCTCTCTCTCTTTCTTTCTTCCCCCCCTCCCCCCTCGCTCCCTCCAGTCTTCTCCGTCCCGCGCGGCCCGATCGCATCCCTCTCTTTTTCACTCTCGCGTACCTGCGAGTCGACCGCGACCTAATCCGTGTGCACGTGTAATGATCCGAGATTGTGTGAGCGAAAGAGGCGAGGGGGCGGAAATCTGCCTTCGTGTGTGGCTCTCTCTCTTTCGATCCGTCTTCCTTCTCTCATTCTTCTCTCTCTCTCTCTCTCTCTCTCATTCTCTCTCTCCGTCGAGACTCGGTCGAGACTCCGCGCGACTCGGATGGAACGGCCGTGTCTGTTACCGAAGTCACACAGTCGTCGATGCCGAGGCTTCTGGCCCCTGATGCGTACAGGTTCTCCTACCCGCACCTGGTATCCATGATGGGACTGCGTTTGACCTGTGCGTATACAAAGGTGGTATTATTCGCGAGAGGAAGGGATTCCGCGTTTGTCTCGGTTCTCATTCAAAAAAGTCAGGACACGTTTTCAGATTGTGTCGAATTGTTCGGACGGACAAAAGCCGGGTCGTTGCTTAGCGACTACGCCGAGTGTTGTTGAATAACATCTTCAAATTTCACGAAGGATGCAAAAATTTTGGGAAAAAAAGATAAAATTATTTATCATTTTTTTCTCTATAATAATGAAATGAAAATTTGCCAATTTAAATTATAAGCTCGAATCTCATTACGTAATCCCAAATTGCATTAAAACATACAAGTAATATATGTTATATTTCTGAGTTTTCTGTGAAAAATACGTGAATATCACAAACATCTTTTTTATATATCCTTTTTATGAAATTTTATAAATATTTGTTTCAAAATTTAAAATTAACGAGATTCGTTTTTCACTAGCTCGTATGTGAAGTTAACGCGTTCATTTCGGTCATATTTTCGAGATTTCCGCTTTTCCACATTCTTCCTTCATTTTTTGCCAATTCTCGGAAAATTCCGAATTCCAAACTTTCTCGAATTCGATCGAAGTGAAAGATCGATCGTAGGCGAAGTCTTCCCGTGTGTGGAGCCCGCCGGTTCCCGGTCGTTGCACTCGACGCCAACTGCTCGTGGCCGCAGCGATCGACAAAGTTCGCGCGTCGATTACTAATGGACTACTTTTCATTTCGTGGACATTCCTCACTATTGTTCGGTGAATCGATTGTTCGAACGATCTTTCAAAAAACTTGTATCTCGTTCTTCGATGGAAAAAAATAGGATTGGATTTAAAATTATTCCAAATGCAATCACAGATCTTCGTTATATATTAACTTTCATCAGTCACTTTTCCTGACTGATGAAAAGAACAAGATTGGTTTTTAAAAGCTAGATTTCGTAACGCGTTTATTAGAGTAATGAGACGTAAAAAAACTCGATTTCCCTCTACCGCAATATTCTATACGATTATGCGGCTTAATGAGAAGTGGCAAAATCACTGTCGCGCTCTCGCTCGACGAGCCAGTCGGCCGCAAAACGTCAGGAAATACGACGATATAAATCACGAACGGCGGACTCTCCTTCGGAACGAGTCTCGCGAGAACACAAAAGGACTTTCACTCGTTCGGAATCTGTTAAAACGGCGGTATCTCATATTCAGCTTCACTACTTCCGCGCTGCATCTTCCCGAATCTTAATGATAATATTCCTTTCTTAATCTTTTTATTCGTTATATTTTTTTTTTTGTATTTTTCTTTCCTCGATAATTTTTCCAGAATCAAATACCATACAGAACTGTGATTACGTTACCACGATATTTTGCAGATAGATCTAAAAGTAAAAAAAAAACTTGTCACTCTTTCAAGATTAATGACGTCATAAGTACATTAACACGTTTTTTCGCCTCCTCAGAATTGCTTTCTCATCGATTTTTTTTTTTTATCGTCCATTCATTCTAAAGTTCTATGCCCCCTTGTCCAATCCAAATCGATATTCAGAAGATACTCATCGTCGGGCCACTCTCGCGGACCGGATTGCACTTTCCGTGCAGCCGTTTCGATCGCGCATGACGAAGGGTTAACTCCGTCTATCTCGTTAACCCCGTGGTAAGAGGGGTGCCTCCCGGTCGGTGGGTTGAGAATAGGTAGACACACAGCGAGCAGTCGGACTCTTTCGGGGGTGCCGATACGAAGGCACGTTATATAGGGGTTGCACAGCGAGCGCGCAGAGAGAGCAGCTGCAACGCGCGAACGAGCCTGGGCGAGTTGGGCCCAGACAGCTGCATCGAAAGGACGGTGCTTTAACTAACAGCTGCCCCATACTCGTGCAGTCCATGTACATTCCGACTACTCTCTCCCCCCCTCTCTCTCTCTCTCCTCTCTCTCTACTACTCTACGTACTACGTCGTACTCTCTACTCTCTCTCTCTCTCGTCTCTCTTACTTACTCTCGTCTCTCTCTCTCCTCTCTCTCGTTCGTACTACGTACGTACGTCGTACGTACGTACGTACGTACGTACGTACGTCGTCGTCGTCGTCGTACGTACGTACGTACGTCGTCGTCGTCGTCGTCGTCGTCGTCGTCGTCGTACGTACGTACGTACGTACGTACGTACGTACGTACGTACGTACGTACCGGTACGGTACGGTACGGTCGGTCGGTCGGTCGGTCGGTAGGTAGTAGTACGTACGTACGTACGACGTACGACGACGACGTCGTCGTCGTACGGTACGGTACGGTACGGTACGGTACGTACGTAACGTACGTAACGGTACGGTTACGGTACGGTACGTACGTACGACGACGACGACGACGACGAGACGACGAGCGGGCGTCGACCACGACGACCGTCGGTACGGTCGGTACGGTCGGTCGTACGTCGTACTAGTCGTACTACGTAGTAACGTACGTACGTATAACTACTACTACTCGACCTACCTCTACGTCTACGACGTACTACTACTACTACTCTCTCCTCCTCCCTCCCTCCTCCTCTCTCTCTCTCTCTCTCTCTCTCTCTCTCTCTCTCTCTCTCTCTACCTCATCTCAGAAGTTTTTGTCGCGACGCTTTTCCGAAAGTACCTTCAATGTCTCCCTTTTATTTCTTCTCAGTCTACCTGACCGAATTTTTCGAGCCGGATTCTATCCTAGCCCAATTGTGATATATGCGATCTAGGATGCGTTCGTCTTCGACGAGATCATCATTTAAATAAAGTAGGCGATAATAATGGAATAATAGCTACCTGTGACACGCTACTCAATGAGAATTTTGTATCGGTTTTACCTAAAACTTGATCACAATGGATGGTAATTTCCGGTTGTGAAAAAGGTTAATTCTTAAATCCTCTTAGAAGTGACTCTACGAGTTAACGAAAATTTCAGGAGCATTCTAATCCTGTTTTATATATTTCATATCCCATAGAAAAATTGGCGGCATTTTTCTTTTATCTGACTTTTAAGTGATCACGTGAATTACTTATATAGCAGGTATATATATATTACAATGCGGCGAATATCGCATAAGTAAAAGAGAGCGAGAGTTACTTTTGCAGAGAGGAAACAAGAAGAGGGGCCGTGAGGGGAGAAAAGGGTGGACGGTGCCCCGCTTTACCACCAAGCGAGGGTCGGTGCTCCGTGACCGTTTTGAATGGAAATCGGTGGTCGTGGATAGAAAATCGATAAGTACGTTGCGGAACCAGGAGAATTCGGGGTATAACACCGGCTGTGTGGCTATGTTTATCTCTCCTCTGTGTCTTTGTCTCTCTCTTTGCTCGGAAGCCGAGCTTTTAGAGGTATAGAACTCGATAGATTCATTAAGAACGACACTTACGAGAATGTACATTATAAATTAATTATTTTATTTTTATTATTTTATTTACATATATAAAGTAAGATTTCGAATATTTAAAAAGAATAAAAAAATATTACCAATTTTATTGTTTATAACGTTCAGAATATAATTTTAATTAATATTTAAAATACACAATGAAATACACGATGGCTAATGAATAGAATAAAATATTTTCAGTGGATATTAATTAGGTCAGCTTAATAATATGAAAATGAAAACAAGTTAATATTTACTTAATTAATAATTTCAATTAGCAGTGAAATTTATAATCATTAAAGTGGAAATGAATAATTGTTATTACTTTGTTTCGTCGTTATCAGTTTGACCTAATAATCAATTTTCATCGTTTACAACATTTTATAAAGCCCCGCGGAATATTATTTACCATTTATTGTGTTACACATAAATATAATTTATATATATATATATATATATATATATATATATATATATGAATATTCTGGTACGATATTCTGGTACGAACGCTTAATTTGAGAAACACGAGCATTGAAATATCACATCGAATGAAACGCAGGAGGGTTGTCTTCGACGTCTTCTTCTCGGCTTCTCGGAACACTTCGGTCAACTTGGAGGATCGGCGTACCGCGGGAGGAGAAAACGCGGCGAATTTATAGCCCATCTCGCAAGGTTTTATCTCGAAAAATCGCACGGCCGCAAATCGGTCGTAAATAATCCTCGAAGGGCAAGATTTGTCGCGGCTTACAAGATTTGTTTAGTCACTGGTTCCTACGTTCGTTTCTTGGTCCTCGCCGGGAAGAAAAGGACCTTTCTTCCCTTTTCTTCTTCTCCGGCAACGATGTGGCGAAAAGGTGGTATACTCGCGACGAAGAGGACGAGGGGCGAAGGAAGTGGCGGAGGGCAAGGGGGAAGGGAGGATTGTGGTGGAATCTCTGCGATTCGGTCGTTCGTCGACGATACACCGGCGAACGGAGGGGGGGGGGCACCAGGAGAAGAGACCGCGGCGGTCCCGACGGCGGAGGGCCGAGGGAGACTGTATATATATCTCTCGTTCTCCGCTCTATAAATACCCATACTCCTTAGCGCTCGGGCTGTGCCATGCCATACCGCGCTGCGCCGCGCCAAAGTCCGTCCGTCCGCCCGCCCGTCCGTCCGTCCGTCCGTCCGTCCGTCCGTCCGTTCGTCCATCCAACCGGCCATGGCGAGTCGCCGGTCGCGAGAGTCGGGCCGTTGCGCTCGATGCCAAGGTCACGCGGCCCTCGTGCTGCTCCTGGCCCTGCTGCTCGCCGGCCCTGCCTCGCGCCGAACCGTGTCGGGAATCGTCGAATGTCGCCTTCAACCCCTTCATTCACCGGCACCGATCGCATCGGGGTTTTTCCTTTCGATTTCCAATCCAAGTTTCTTATCTCGACGATGACCACAGTCCTTGACGAGATTTCGTTATTTTTCTTGAGCGCTTCTCCGAACCAGTCGGAGGATTCGATCGATCATCTATTATATTGATAATTATAGCGTGAGATTGATAACGCTGTTTTAATGAATTTTTCGAAAAATGTATCGGCACATTGATTCGAATTTTCGACCTGACGTTTTCCGATATTTTTCCGCTTGCATCTGCAAGAGGTGACGGGAAAGGAATCCAAACCGTGTGACGGTCGATTCCTCGCATATTTGCACGCGTTGCCAACGATGGAACGATCGCAAGGGTAATGAAATTGTGTCATGCGTTGTTCGGTGTCCAGTTTGCGAATACCTCTGAGCAAAAGGAGGTTTGCACTCGCGGTAGTTGGCTGGTAGCCATCGGGTTTCCCGGTTGTGTGTGCGACAGGAAAATTAGTCGTCCGGTTACCGAGGCAATGCGAGGAATAAACGCGCGCCACCGCACGTAGTGCGTGTCGCTCTCTTTCGCTTTTAAACGGCCCGCATCCGGGGTGCCGTTATGCGACCCTCCAAATTCGTTCGTTTGCGGTTTACTTCATCCGATAAGGAAATGGGATACCACCGTCTATCATGAGGTACCACCACCTGTTAACTCTTTCATTTCCTGTATTAACCTTTACAATTGCACCTTTTTACCGCGGCACTTTTAATTAAAAAAAGAGTGAATTGTTCAAAACATTGAAAATTCACACACATTTCGAAATCAAAGTACGAAGCGTAGAGATAAAAAAAGCAAAAGTACAAATGAAAATAATATTGCACCCTTCGGTGAATGAAGGAAGGACAATGTCGGGGCGACTATTCTCGCGAACTTGATTACCGCCGCATGCTGTAAATAATTACAGCACGCAAGAGATATTTTATGTCCCGAAATATAAAGAAGGACGAACTACCGTACGCGTGTATGCATGCCATCGGACGTATCGTATATACACCGTATTCACCGCTCGCTCGTGCAGTCGTGAGGGACGCGATCGACCTCTCGCCGAGAGTTGCCTTAACCTCTTGGATTTTTTCTTACTCATTTCAGCCCGCTGCCTGCCCGGATGCGACGAGCAGCACGGACACTGCAATCGACCCAACGAATGCATGTGAGTATACGTATATACATGTACATATACATACGCGGTTTCGCCTAATACTCGCACGTGCGCTCGTGTGCACGTTGTTCGCTCGTGTGTTTTCTCCGCGCGCGCGCGCGCGCGCGTGTGTGTGTGTGTGTGTGTGCGTGGCGCGTGTGCGCGCGCGCGCATCGCGCCGCCCCATACAACCGCCAACTAAATTCCTGGGCCCCGACACGGTGCATCCACTCCTCTGTATGCGCCGCCGCGGCGTATGCATGTACGCGCGATAATAATTACGCGCATACCTATCGTAAATTATCGTTCGGCGCGCGGTTTCGAAAAGGTATACCACGCCGGCCAGCAGCTCTCGGAGGATCCACGTCACGATTCCACGTAACGCTTGTCCTACACGGAGTATCCCGGAATCGTTTCATTCTCCATCGCGAGATGTTGGAACTCTAACTGGAAGGAGGATGATTCATCTTCAATGATTCATCCCCTTTTCTAAACGTTGTACATCTTCGGGGCACTTTACTTTCGTGAGAGAGAGAGTACTTCGAGAATCGAAACGAATGCCTGTCGGAATGCCTGTTTTTGCGAATAAACGTTGAAATCAACAATTTTAATTAATAATTGCATCTGCATGCCGCGTAATGTTATCGCTGACTTAAAGACGCGTACTCCTCAAGAGTTACGGCGGTGCGTGCATTCGCGACGGCATTATAAGTGCGCGCACTCGTTATATATTATCGTACGTATATTTTTGTAACGCTTTTACGAGTGTGCGGGCATACGGCGGGAAGGAAGGACGAAGTGGAATTCGAAGCTCCTCGACTGCTTTCCGTACGTAACGAGGCAGTTTCCGAGGTGCCAATCGTTCCTGCTCTCTCTTCCTTTCCAGATTCCACCAGTCTCTTTGCTCTTCCTCCTCTTTTTTTCTCCACTTTTATTGTCATTCCTTCTTTGTTTCTCCCTCTTCCTCTTTCATGGCCCGTCGTCCGACGTGCCGTTGAACTTTCCGATTTAATTCCGCCGTTTGGCAAAATTCCGGATTTCTCCGACATTTCCGTATTCTCTCCCTTGGAAACGTTCGCATAGCTTCGGTTTAACTTCTTTTCCTTCTTTCGGCAAATGTCCAAAGGACGTCCCATAAATCGTAGAGTAATATTTCAAAATTTTTTTGTTTTTCTATCGTGGGAGGATTCTTTAACGAAAATTTGTAAATCTTTGCAAGGAAAAACGTAGAATTCCAAGTTGTCGTGCGATTATTTAACATATTGAAGGTTTGATATCAGCATTAAAAGAAGGATTCTTTTTCTTTAGGCATTTTCTTTCTTATACAAAATGCATTGTACTTAATACGATGACTCGCGAATATCACGCACTCCAAGATATCGCGTCGTGCCGGTATGTCGACTTGAATCTCGGCCTGGTCGACGTTAACTCGACGTTTGGAGTTAACTCAATCATTTAATTACTCTACGACCAGGGTTAATTGTCCCGTTAGTCGCAGCTACGAGTTCGCCGTTTGTACCATATTCATGACCGCTTCATTCTCGCGTGATTTTTTAACCCAATTTATTCTGCCACTCTTGAAATGTACTTAAAAATAAAATACATAAATATATAAATATATGAGACATGTTGACCGACCCAATGGATCTCGTATTAATATCCGGTATTATGATTTTTTTCGATTAAATTGAAGTTTATTTTTTTTATACTTCGATCGTTTTGTTCAATCTCAATTCTTTTTCACAACATCCAGAATAAATAATTTAAATAATCTTTTATTTTTATTTCATCCCGTCATCGCGTTGGTTTCTCAAGTCGTTTCGAACGTCGTCCCCGTTAGAATCGGGGGGGTGCCGTCGCGAGGCTCAAAGTTGCACGATTGTGAAAGGAGGAACGGCGTGAATTTTCCCGCACTGCAAAATATGCATCGCCGTCGTGAGTTCTCCAGCGATGAATATCGAGAGTTTCTCGCGGCGACGGCAGTGAACGCACCGCGGACTATGCGTGCCTGCAGCGTCGCCGAGAACAAACACCGAACGTCGATAGTTGAACTCGAGAGCGAATATCGACTCTGAACAGTTTGCCAATTCCTCTTTAAATATTGCTCAGCTTTTCCAACGATCATTCAAAATATTTTTGAATACTTGCATAACGATCTAATAACTTATACTATAAATATTATTTTGTGATTTTATAAAAAATTAAGTAATATGCAAATGTAATTACCGCATAAAAATTCTTTTACAATGTAAGTCACATGGTATACATGGTATGGTCTCGTCTCTTCAGCGAGTATTATTATTTCGTGTATCATTTTAGTACGATCATTACGACGGTACGGCACGCAACAAATGTCAATTACGCGCATGCACATTACGGATGTACGCCGTCTTTGTTACGAACAAATTTTTTTTTTTTTACATAACCTTACATTCGACACTCGAAGCCAATGAATAAAAATATCGTTACACGACGATGTAACGGAATTTGATCGGCGTTAACCTTGATCGCACTACACGTGCACGCGACAATGGCTGACGCATGCCACTTTACACGCCCCGATCATAGATGATTACGTAGATTGCGGGAATGGAATTACGATACGCTCGTTTTCAGTCGTACAGCGTATATTCGCGTATACTCGGAAACGATAACGATCGTTTCGAGGTGACGGGCCTCGCCGGACTCGTGGGATATCGCGCTCGTGAAGAATCATGACCGTTGGGTGCCCCATTGAAATTTTGGGACCCACGCACGGTCATTCGTGCGTGTGGTACCTGAATACCGATGACGATGCATCAACGTTACGATCTCTCGTTTCTTTCGGGATGACGACGCTTCAACGTAAGGATAAACGTAAAAGAGGAAACGCGCAGCGAGGGAAGGAGGGAGCTACGAGACGATCTATTATGCCTCGACATTTAATTCTCGAGGAGATTAAAAATTAAGAATATAAAACAAATCACGTTCAACTTTTATCATCTTATGCGTATTTCCTACTAATACAAATATAAATTTGCATGTAGGAATTTTATATTGTTCCCAACAAACGTTACATTTCACGATATCACGTTTTGATTCGACCCCGTTTAAATGCCCGCGTAATAACAGGCAAAGGTCAAAGAACATCGTACTCGCGTCTCGAATCGTAGCGCGGTATCCTCGCATCTGATGGCACGAGAGTCATAAGAGAAGGAAGAAGAGAAGGAGGAGACGAGAGAGAAGTCGTCCTCTCTTGTCTCTCTTTCAAAGAGACATTTAAATCGAGCCTGATATGCACACGGAATTTCCATAGCCACAATTGGAGAGCCAATCCTCCTTTACCTTCTTCTCTTCCTTTTTCTTCCCCCTTTGCCTCATCGGTGCATGACCTATCCCCCGGTGGTAATTATGCCATAGTCGCGATTCTGGTTTCGCGGCCTAGCCACAAAGTAGAATGCGCGATCACGTGGACGCCACTCGCCGGCGTTCTTTGGGATATACGTTTCTAGGTGCACCTTCCACCTTCGTCTCTCGTGAGCTGTGATAAACGATTACGAATAATCCGTGCGGCACAGTTCGGCCGTTTGTCCAACCCCCTTGGTCCCGTTTTGCCTTCTCTTCGCGTTTCTTCCTTCACCACCGCCTTCCGTCTCTCTCTCTCTC